TTGTCCATTTGGAAGACCCATTTGCGACCAAGCTTTAACTTCCTGACTGATGTCTTGAGATGTTGCTTCAATATATCCACATAATTTTCCTTCTTCATGATGCCATCTATTTTGTGAAGTGCACCAGACCCTCCTGCAGCAAAGCACCCCCACAGCATGATGCTGCCACCCCCTTGCTTCACGGTTGGGATGGTGTTCTTCGGCTTGCAAGCTGCCCCATATTTCCTCCAAACATAACAATGGTCATTATGGCCAAACAGTTCTATTTTTGTTTAATCAGACCAGAGGACATTTCTCCAAAAAGTACGATCTTTGTCCCCATGTGCAGTTGCAAACCGTAGTCTGGCTTTTTTATGGTGGTTTTGGAGTAGTGGCTTCTTCCTTGCTGAGTGGCCTTTCAGGTTATGTCGATATAGGACTCATTTTACTGTGGATATAGTTACTTTTGTACCTGTTTCCTCCAGCATCTTCACAAGGTCCTTTGCTGTTGTTCTGGGATTGATTTGCACTTTTCGCACCAAAGTACGTTCATTTCTAGGAGACAGAACACGTCTCCTTCCTGAGCGGTATGACGGCTGCGTGGTCCCATGGTGTTTATACTTGCGTACTATTGTTTGTACAGATGAACGCGGTACCTTCAGGCGTTTTTAAATTGCTCCCAAGGATGAACCAGACTTGTGGAGGTCTACAATTTTTTTTCTGAGATCTTGGCTGATTTCTTTTGATTTTCCCATGATGTCAAGCAAAGAGGCACTGAGTTTGAAGGTAGGCCTTGAAATACATCCACAGATACACCTCCAATTGACTCAAATTATGTCCATTAGCCTATCAGAAGCTTCTAAAGCCATGACATCATTTTCTGGAATTTTCCAAGCTGTTTAAAGGCATAGTCAACTTAGTGTATGTAAACTGGAATTGTGATACTGTGAATTATAAGTGAAATAATCTGTCTGTAAACAATTGTTGGAAAAATTACCTGTGTCATCCACAAAGTAGATGTCCTAACCGACTTGCCAAAACTATAGTTTGTTAACAAGAAATTTGTGGAGTGGTTGAAAAATGAGTTTTATTGACTCCAACTTAAGTGTATGTAAACTTCCGACTTCAACTGTACGTATGTATATTATTTTACTGCTCTAGGGATATAATTATTGTTTGGATAACCTTATCTACTATTATGTATAGATTTTTACCTTACATTTTTTCACTCTTTATGCGATGCGCAATGCAGAGAACACCGGAAGAAGAATGATCATTTAATTATCACAGTGAATTATTGTAATGTTTGTTCATGTGTCAATTAATCCCATAAGGGACAGGTTGCCAACTGGTGATTTGACACGAAAATAAAATGTCATTCATTCATTAATTGTTATAGTTTAACAGCATATTTCAATGTCAACTTCCCCAGTGTGTAGAGAGACGCATTCTGAAGACTTTCACTTGGCAGGCAGATTTAGCGTGTTTGATGACCTGCCGTCATATTGAACAACCAAGAAACAGCACTAATTAGCATGTCCCAGATAGGCATATTTACTATTTTACTCTTTCCATTCCCACTCTAAGCAGCCCCGAAATACTCCAAACAGTTACTGTGTACATTCTAGAATATGGATCATGGAAATCACTGATGAAGTAGTCTACTACATTCTAGAATATGGATCATGGAAATCACTGATGAAGTAGTCTACTACATTCTAGAATATGGATCATGGAAATCACTGATGAAGTAGTCTACTACATTCTAGAATATGGTCAGGAAAAATACTGAAAGAGTTACTCATTTAATTGGATATGGAAATCATGATGAAAGTACCCAACATTTAAAATATGGATCATAAAAATTACTGATGAAGTAGCTACTAATTTAAAAATTGGATCATGGAAATCACTGATGAGTATTTACTACATTCTAAAAAAAATAGGGACAGGGAAAATCACAGTGAAGAGTCTTAATTCTAGAATAGGTTGAAATCACGAGAAGTGTCTACTACATTTGAATGTCATGGAACACGATAAATTTTACTACAAATTCTGAATAGGGATCATGGAAATCATATAAAGTAGTTATATTTTCAGAATAGGATCAGGGAAATCACAGATGAAGTACCCTACTAATTTAGAATATGGACATGGAAACCCTGAGAAGTGTCTACTAAATCTAAAATATGGTCAGGGAAATCACTGATAAAGTAGTCTATTTTCTAAAATAGGGATCATGGAAACAGAGAAGGGTTTACTACATTCTAAAATATGGACATGGAAATCACGAAAATGTCTATTTCAAATTTGGGATCTGGAAATCATGTGAAGTAGTTACTACTTCTGAATAGGGATCTGGAATCAAAGATGAAGTAGTCTACTACTTTAAAATATGGTCGGGGAAACATAAAAGATTACATATTCTAGAATAGGACATGGAAATCAGATGAAGTAGTCTACAATTTAGAATATGGATCAGGGAAAATCATATGAAGTAGTCTCTACATTCTAGAATAGGATCATGAAATCACGGGTGAAGTATTCACTATATTCAAATTGGATCATGGAAATCAGAGAAGTAGCACACTTCGAATAGGATCATGGAAATCACTGATAAAGTAGTCTACTACATTCTAAAATAGGGAAGGGAAAACACTGAAAAAGTATCTAATACATTCTAGAAAGGGATCAGGGAAATAGATAAGTATCACAACATTCTAAAATTTATGGTTTGGAAATCAGATAAGTTTACTACTTCTAAAATATGGATCAGGGAAAATCACAGATGAAGAGTCTACTAATTTAAATATGGATCATGGAAATCACGTTGAAGTAGTCTATACATTTTAAAAATATGGACATGAAATCCTGTGAAGTGTTACTTTTAGAAAGGGACATGGAAACATGATGAAGTAGTCTATACATTCTAGAAGGGATCAGGGAAACACAGATGAAGTACTATCATTCTAAAATTGGACAGGGAAACACTGATGAAGTACATATTTTTAGAATATGGTCATGGAAATCATGATAAATAGTTACTACATTTAGAATTGGATCAGGAATCACTGGAATAGTCTACACATTCTAGAAAGGATCAGGGAAAATCACTGATGAAGTGTCTCTATATTCTAGAAAGGATCAGGGAAACCTGATGAAAGTATCTACTAATTTAAAATGGATCATGGAAATCACTGAGAAGTGTTTATATTCTAGAAATGGATCTGGAAATCCTGATGAAGTGTCACTACATTCTAAAATATGGATCATGGAAATCATATAAAGTATCACTACTTTCTAGAAATGGTCAGGGAATCACTGTGAAGTGTCTACTTATTCAGAAATGGATAGGGGAAATCACTGATGAAGTAGTCACACTTCTAAAATAGGATCAGGGAAATCACTGATGAATGTCTACTACTTTTAGAATAGGGGATCAGGGAAAATCACCGATGAAGAGTTACATATTCTAGAAATTGTCAGGAAATCACCGAGGAAAAGAGTTACATATTTAGAATGGTCATGGAAATCACAGATGAAGTAGTTATACATTTAGAATAGGGATCATGGAAATCACGAAAAGTAGTCTATACATTTAAAATGGATCGGGAAATCACTGATAAAGAGTCATACATTTAAAATTTGGACAGGAAATAAATGAAAGTTCTATACTTTAGAATATGGATCAGGAAAATACTTTTAAGTGTCAAACTCCGTCTTTGGCAAAACAAGATCAAGGATTTTTTAAGGGATTTAGATGTCAGCACAAGTTCTTATTAGCTGTTGCTTTCGCTCCAGGACCTTTTGAGGAGTTTAGAGTTGTCAACCTGATTAAGGGCAATTCTCCCAACTTCAGGTCAACCTGATTAAGGGCAGTTCTCCTAACTTCAGGTCAACCTGATTAAGGGCAGTTCTCCTAACTTCAGGTCAACCTGATTAAGGGCAGTTATTCTAACTTCAGGTCAACCTGATTAAGGGCAGTTCAACTAACTTCAGGTCAACCTGATTTAAGGGCAGTTCACCTAACTTCAGGTCAACCTGATTAAGGGCAGTTCACCTAACTTCAGGTCAACCTGATTAAGGGCAGTTCACCTAACTTCAGGTCAACCTGATTAAGGGCAGTTCACCTAACTTCAGGTCAACCTGATTAAGGGCAGTTCTCCCAACTTCAGGTCAACCTGATTAAGGGCAGTTCACCTAACTTCAGGTCAACCTGATTAAGGGAAGTTCTCCCAACTTCAGGTCAAACCAATGAAGGGCAGTTCTCCCAACTTCAGGTCAACCTGATTAAGGGCTCCCAACTTCAGGTCAACCTGATTAAGGTTTCACCTAACTTCAGGTCAACCTGATTAAGGGCAGTTCTCCCCAACTTCAGGTCAAACCTGATTAAGGGCAGTTCACCTAACTTCAGGTCAACCTGATTAAGGGCAAGTTCTCCCAACTTCAGGTCAAACCAATGAAGGGCAGTTCTCCCAACTTCAGGTCAACCTGATTAAGGGCAGTTCACCTAACTTCAGGTCAACCTGATTAAGGGCAGTTCTCCCAACTTCAGGTCAACCTGATTAAGGGCAGTTCACCTAACTTCAGGTCAACCTGATTAAGGGCAGTTCTCCCAACTTCAGGTCAAGCCAATGAAGGGCAGTTCTCCCAACTTCAGGTCAACCTGATTAAGGGCAGTTCCCCCAACTTCATGTCAACCTGATTAAGGGCAGTTCTCTTATCTTCAGGTCCTGAAGGGCACCCAGGTGTTAAAACAGGTGCCTATTTGTGTATTGTTAAAGCTTTCAACATTGACAGATAAGACCAACTCAAGGTACAGAAGTTTAGCCAACCTAAAACGGCAAACGTTAACCCTACAAGCATTTCGCTCTGCAAATTTGTGTACCCGACCAATAAACGTTGATTTGAAGGAAGCTAGGTGGTTAGCGTTATGCCAAGAGAGTGAACCACGACCGTGTCCAGTCGATATAAACATACATTAGCTGGTATGTCTGCATATGCCGTCTCATAGGTCGTGCTTATGGCAGTGTTTTGTAGAGTTTCAAGTAAAGTGTCACAATATAATGAGGAATGTTTGATCTCTTACACATAGGGTAGACAAAGTGTGTCTCTGCCTCAGAGGAAGAGGGCGAGACAAGGTAATCGTCACACTCGTTGGAGCTGAATGACCCTGAGTGGTTCCTGAGGCGGGACTTTGTGACGTCATCAGTGGTCGCCATTACGTGTCGTAGGGTGTCGTTAAGGTACCGTTTCAGCAAGCTGCTCTTGTACTTGGGGGGTGGAGCGATGTAGTCAGCACTGTAGGCGGGATCAGTCCTTTTCTCCTGTTTGATGACACTCTCGAGGGAGGGCCTGGAGAGCTCTGATTGGCTAGCTGGGGTTTGTAAGGGACACTCGTCATCTGCAACATGGGGTAAACCAAAAAAAAAAACATTGGTCCCCATCAACTGGTCTCCAAAAGAGGCTGATATCTTTTTTTTTTGGGGGGGGGGGGGGGGGGGGGGGGGGGGATTAGATCAGCTTTAATAGTGCAGATAGATTGTAGATTCAATGTAATTGTCTGCATCATTTCCAATCCCCCCATATACACTACCGATCAAAAGTTTGGACACACCTACTCATTCAAGGGTTTTTCTTTATTCTTACTGTTTTCTACATTGTAGAATAATAGTGAAAACATCAAAACTATGAAATAACACATATGGAATCATGTAGAAACCAAAAAAGTGTTAAACAAATCTAAATATATTTTATATTTGAGATTCTTCAAATAGCCACCCTTTGCCTTGATGACAGCTTTGCACACTCTTGGCATTCTCTCAACCAGTTTCATGAGATAGTCACCTGGAATGTATTTCAATTAACAGGTGTGCCTTTTTAAAAGTTTATTTGTGGAATTTCTTTCCTTCTTAATGTGTTTGAGCCAATCAGTTGTGTTGTGACAAGGTAGGGCTGGTATACAGAAGATAGCCCTATTTGGTAAAAGACCAAGTGCATATTTTGGCAAGAACAGCTCAAATAAGCAAAGAAAAACGACAGTCCATCATTACTTTAAGACATAATGGTCAGTCAATCAGGAAAATGTCAAGAACTATGAACGTTTCTTCAAGCGCAGTCGCAAAAACCATCAAGCGCTATGATGAAACTGGCTCTCATGAGGACCGCCACAGGAAAGGAAGAGTTAGAATACGTTCATTACAGCTAACTGCACCTCAGATTGCAGCCCAAATAAATGCTTCACCGAGTTCAAGTAACAGACACATCTCAACATCAACTGTTCAGAGGAGACTGAGTGAATCAGGCCTTCATGGTCGAATTGCTGCAAAGAAACCACTACTAAAGGACACCAATAAGAAGAAGAGACTTGCTTGGGCCAAGAAACACAAGCAATGGACATTAGACCGGTGGAAATCCATCCAAATTTGAGATTTTTGGTTCCAACCGCCATGTCCTTGTGAGACGCAGAGTAGCTGAACGGATGATCTCCGTATGTGTGGTTCCCACCGTGAAGCATGGAGGAGGAGGTGCGATAGTGTGGGGGTGCTTTGCTGGTGACACTGTCTGTGATTTATTTAGAATTCAAGGCACACTTAACCAGCATGGCTACCACAGCATTCTGCAGTGATACGTCATCCCATCTGGTTTGCGCTTAGTGAGTCTTTCACTTGTTTTTCAACAGGACAATGACCCAACACACTTCCAGGCTGTGTAAGGGCTGTTTTACCAAGAAGGAGAGTGATGGAGTGCTGCATCAGATGACCTGGCCTCCACAATCACCCGACCTCAACCCAATTGAGATGGTTTGGGATGAGTTGGACCGCAGAGTGGAGGAAAAGCAGCCAACAAGTGCTCAGCATATGTGGGAACTCCTTCAAGACTGTTGGAAAAGCATTCCAGGTGAAGCTGGTTGAGAGAATGCCAAGAGTGTGCAAAGCTGTCATCAAGGCAAAGGGTGGCTACTTTGAAGAATCTAAAATCTAAAATATATTTTGATTTGTTTAACACTGTTTTGGTACTACATGATTCCATATGTGTTATTTCATAGTTTTGATGTCTTCACTATTATTCTACTATGTAGAAAATAGTAAAAATAAAGAAAAAACCTTGAATGAGTAGGTGTGTCCAAACGTTTTACTGATACTGTATATAACATTCTATTGGTTGCAAGAATTTTGTATAATAATTTAAATAGAAACATTTTTAGTTTTGAATCCGGTGTTGTTTTGCATATCAGTTCATTAACCATGTGCCATGGAATCGGTACATCGAAAAATCTCTTCCCAACTAGTTAGCAATCTACAGTGAGGGAAAAAAGTATTTGATCCCCTGCTGATTTTGTACGTTTGCCCACTGACAAAGACATGATCCTCTGTAGCTCAGCTGGTAGAGCACGGCGCTTGTAACGCCAAGGTAGTGGGTTCGATCCCCGGGACCACCCATACACACACAAAAAAATGTATGCACGCATGACTGTAAGTCGCTTTGGATAAAAGCGTCTGCTAAATGGCATATTATTATATTATATGATCAGTCTATAATTTTAATGGTAGGTTTATTTGAACAGTGAGAGACAGAATAACAACACAAAAATCCAGAAAAACGCATGTCAAAAATGTTATAAATTGATTTGCATTTTAATGAGGGAAATACAGTGGGGAAAAATATTATTTAGTCAGCCACCAATTGTGCAAGTTCTCCCGCTTAAAAAGATGAGAGAGGCCTGTAATTTTCATCATATGTACACGTCAACTATGACAGACAAATTGAGATTTTTTTTTCTCCAGAAAATCACATTGTAGGATTTTTAATGAATTTTTTTGCAAATTATGGTGGAAAATAAGTATTTGGTCACCTACAAACAAGCAAGATTTCTGGCTCTCACAGACCTGTAACTTCTTCTTTAAGAGGCTCCTCTGTCCTCCACTCGTTACCTGTATTAATGGCACCTGTTTGAACTTGTTATCAGTATAAAAGACACCTGTCCACAACCTCAAACAGTCACACTCCAAACTCCACTATGGCCAAGACCAAAGAGCTGTCAAAGGACACCAGAAACAAAATTGTAGACCTGCACCAGGCTGGGAAGACTGAATCTGCAATAGGTAAGCAGCTTGGTTTGAAGAAATCAACTGTGGGAGCAATTATTAGGAAATGGAAGACATACGGTCCTCTGTAGCTCAGCTGGTAGAGCACGGCGCTTGTAACGCAAAGGTAGTGGGTTCGATCCCCGGGGACCACCCATACACAAAAATGTATGCACGCATGACTGTAAGTGGCTTTGGATAAAAGCGTCTGCTAAATGGCATATTATTATTATTATTATACGAGACCACTGATAATCTCCCTCGATCTGGGGCTCCATACAAGATCTCACCCCGTGGGGTCAAAATGATCACAGGAACGGTGAGCAAAAATCCCAGAACCACATGGGGGGACCTAGTGAATGACCTGCAGAGAGCTGGGACCAAAGTAACAAAGCCTACCATCAGTAACACACTACGCCGCCAGGGACTCAAATCCTGCAGTGCCAGACGTGTCCCCCTGCTTAAGCCAGTACATGTCCAGGCCCGTCTGAAGTTTGCTAGAGTGCATTTGGATGATCCAGAAGAGGATTGGGAGAATGTCATTTGGTCAGATGAAACCAAAATATAACTTTTTGGTAAAAACTCAACTCGTCGTGTTTGGAGGACAAAGAATGCTGAGTTGCATCCAGAGAACACCATACCTACTGTGAAGCATGGGGGTGGAAACATCATGCTTTGGGGCTGTTTTTCTGCAAAGGGACCAGGACGACTAATCCGTGTAAAGGAAAGAATGAATGGGGCGATGTATCGTGAGATTTTGAGTGAAAACCTCCTTCCATCAGCAAGGGTATTGAAGATGAAAAGTGGCTGGATCTTTCAGCATGACAATGATCCCAAACACACCGCCCAGGCAACGAAGGAGTGGCTTCGTAAGAAGCATTTCAAGGTCCTGGAGTGGCCTAGCCAGTCTCCAGATCTCAACCCCATAGAAAATCTTTGGAGGGAGTTGAAAGTCGTGGTCCTCTGTAGCTCAGCTGGTAGAGCGCGGCGCTTGTAACGCCAAGGTAGTGGGTTCGATCCCCGGGACCACACATACACAAAAAATGTATGCACGCATGACTGTAAGTCGCTTTGGATAAAAGCGTCTGCTAAATGGCATATTATATTATAAAGTCCATGTTGCCCAGCGACAGCCCCAAAACATCACTGCTCTAGAGGAGATCTGCATGGAGGAATGGGCTAAAATACCAGCAACAGTGTGTGAAAACCTTGTGAAGACTTACAGAAAACGTTTGACCTGTGTCATTGCCAACAAAGGGTATATAACAAAGTATTGAGAAACTTTTGTTATTGACCAAATACTTATTTTCCACCATAATTTGCAAATAAATTCATAAAAAATCCTACAATGTGATTTTCTGGAGAAAAAAAATCTCATTTTGTCTGTCATAGTTGACGTGTACCTATGATGAAAATTACAGGCCTCTCTCATCTTTTTAAGTGGGAGAACTTGCACAATTGGTGGCTAACTAAATACTTTTTCCCCCCACTGTAAGTATTTTACCCCCTCTCAATCAGAAATATTTCTGGCTCCCAGGTGTCTTTTATAAAGGTAACAAGCTGAGATTAGGAGCACACTCTTAAAGGGAGTGCTCCTAATCTCAGTTTGTTACCTGTATAAAAGACACCTGTCCACAGAAGCAATCAATCTATCAGATTCCAAACTCTCCACCATGGCCAAGACCAAAGAGCTTTTCAAGGATGTCAGCGACAAGATTGTAGACCTACACAAGGCTGGAATGGGCTACAAGACCATCGCCAAGCAGTTTGGTGAGAAGGTGACAACAGTTGGTGCGATTATTCGCAAATGGAAGAAACACAAAAGAACTGTCAATCTCCCTCGTCCTGGGGCTCCATGCAAGATCTCACCTCGTGGAGTTGCAATGATCATGAGAACGGTGAGGAATCAGCCCAGAACTACACAGGAGGATCTTGTCAATGATCTCAAGGCAGCTGGGACCATAGTCACCAAGAAAACAATTGGTAACACACTACGCCGTGAAGGACTGAAATCCTGCAGCGCCCGCAAGGTCCCCCTGCTCAAGAAAGCACATATACATGCCCGTCTGAAGTTTGCCAATGAACATCTGAATGATTCAGAGGAGAACTGGGTGAAAGTGTTGTGGTCAGATGAGACCAAAATCGAGCTTTTTGGCATCAACTCAACTCGCCGTGTTTGGAGGAGGAGGAATGTTGCCTATGACCCCAAGAACACCATCCCCACCGTCAAACATGGAGGTGGAAACATTATGCTTTGGGGGTTGTTTTTCTGCTAAGGGGACAGGACAACTTTACCACATCAAAGGGACGATGGACGGGGCCATGTACCGTCAAATCTTGGGTGAGAAGCTCCTTCCCTCAGCCAGGGCATTGAAAATGGGTCGTGGATGGGTTTTCCAGCATGACAATGACCCAAAACACACGGCCAAGGCAACAAAGGAGCGGCTCAAGAAGAAGCACATTAAGGTCCTGGAGTGGCCTAGCCAGTCTCCAGACCTTAATTCCATAGAAAATCTGTGGAGGGAGCTGAAGGTTCGAGTTGCCAAACGTCAGCCTCGAAACCTTAATGACTTGGAGAAGATCTGCAAAGAGGAGTGGGACAAAATCCCTCCTGAGATGTGTGCAAACCTGGTGGCCAACTACAAGAAACGTCTGACCTCTGTGATTGCCAACAAGGGTTTTGCCACCAAGTACTAAGTCATGTTTTGCAGAGGGGTCAAATACTTATTTCCCTCATTAAAATGCAAATACATTTATAACATTTTTGACATGCGTTGTTTTGGATTTTTTTGTTATTATTCTGTCTCTCACTGTTCAAATAAACCAACCATTAAAATTATAGACTGATCATGTCTTTGTCAGTGGGCAAACGTACAAAATCAGCAGGGGATCAAATACTTTTTTCCCTCACTGTATATGGCACAGCTGTCAATTTTTTGGTCCTTAAATTAAACTGGGATACTTTTTTATTTATCACAATTTTCTTTAACCGATCTTGGTCTTTAATGCAGGGCCGACAGACAAGTTCCTTACTTTTTCCCCCCTTCCACTTGTCTCTTCCATTTTTGAGGTCTCACATTACTTTTTTAGTTTACTCTCTGCAGACGCAAAGACAGTCTGGTCTTTATTTATTTTCTATCTTATCTTTAACTCTGCATTGTTGGAAAAGGACTCGTAAGTAAGCATTTCACTGTTAGTCTACACCTGTTGTCTACGAAGCATGTGAAAAATAAGATTTTATTTGTTAAAAGGTAATCAACTCTATTACTTAACAAAATTACACAGACAGTTGATTTTGTATAACATTATTTGCCAGTGTTAATTGTCAACTTTTTTTTTACAGAGTTGCAGAAACTCTGTAAAAGTGTTAAAAACCTAACATTTTCTAAAGTAATACATTAACTCTGTGTGGTACGGGACATTAGTTTGTGAGTGTTACGATGAACACTTTTAGAGTTGATTTCACACTTGCAGTGTTGTTATGTGTGATGCATATTTGTTGGAATTACATCCCCAGCTCTAACCTTGCTTAGTCTAACCGTAGCCCCTCTTACCCTCAGAGTTGGTGTCATCACTGCTGACACTCAGTCTCTCAGCGTTGCCCTGAATGTATTTGTTGTAGAGTTTGATCCGTAGAGCCCAACTCAGGTCTGGCTGCCTCACTGTGTTCTTCAGCCTCCGCCGGGCATTGGCAAACCAGTTAGACACCTGCAGCATAAACATAAAGAAAGGAAAACAGGAATTCTATGTGTATTTCAGAACTTCAACCGGTCAGCTACATTTTTCACTGACTGGTTTCTACTTCCATGGTTAATCCATAAGAACCATGAATTACTAGCCCATACCTCTGCTTTGAGGGCTTTGCCTCAGCTCCCCTATACTAAAGTCATGTCTCAGTTCCCCTATACTAAAGTCATGTCTCAGCTCCCCTATACTAAAGTCATGTCTCAGCTCCCCTATACTAAAGTCATGTCTCAGCTCCCCTATACTAAGTCCATGTCTCAGTTCCCCTGTACTAAAGTCATGTCTCCAGTTCCCTATAACTAAAGTCATGTCTCGCTCCCCCTTACTAAAGTCATGTCTCAGCTCCCCTGTCCTAAAGTCATGTCTCAGCTCCCCCTATACAAAGTCATGGTCTCAGCTTCCCCTGTACTAAGTCATGTCTCAGCTCCCCTATACTAAAGTCATGTCTCAGCTCCCCTATACTAAAGTCATGTCTCAGCTCACCTGTACTAAAGTCATGTCTCAGCTCCCCTATACTAAAGTCATGTCTCAGCTCCCCTATACTAAAGTCATGTCTCAGCTCCCCTATACTAAAGTCATGTCTCAGCTCCCCTGTACTAAAGTCATGTCTCAGCTCCCCTATACTAAAGTCATGTCTCAGCTCACCTGTACTAAAGTCATGTCTCAGCTCACCTGTACTAAAGTCATGTCTCAGCTCCCCTGTACTAAAGTCATGTCTCAGTTCCCCTATACTAAAGTCATGTCTCAGCTCCCCTGTACTAAAGTCATGTCTCAGCTCCCCTGTACTAAAGTCATGTCTCAGCTCCCCTATACTAAAGTCATATCTCAGCTCCCCTATACTAAAGTCATGTCTCAGCTCACCTGTACTAAAGTCATGTCTCAGCTCCCCTATACTAAAGTCATGTCTAGCTCCCTATACTTAAAGTCATGTCTCAGCTCACCTGTACTAAAGTCATGTCTCAGCTCACCTGTACTAAGTCATGTCTCAGCTCCCTGTACTAAAGTCATGTCTCAGTTCCCATATACTAAGTCATGTCTCAGCTCCTGATAAAGTCATGTCTCAGCTCCCCTATACTAAAGTCATGTCTCAGCTCCCCTATACTAAAGTCATGTCTCAGCTCCCCTATACTAAGTCATGTTCAGCTCCCTATACTAAAGTCATGTCTCACTCCCCTGTACTAAAGTCATGTCTCAGCTCCCCTGTACTAAAGTCATGTCTTAGCTCCCCTATACTAAAAGTCATATCAGCTCCCCTATACTAAAAGTCATGTCTCAGCTCACCTGTACTAAAGTCATGTCTTCAGTTCCCCTATACTAGTTCATGTCTCAAGTCACCTGTATAAGTCATGTCTCAGCTCACCTTACTAAAGTCATGTCTCAGCTACCTGTATAAGTCATGTCTCAGCTCACCTGTACTAAAGTCATGTGTGACCCCAGGGCGAGCAGGACCTTCTCTGTCTTGGTGGGGTAGGGGTTATCCCTGTGTGTGTACAGCCACTGCTTCAGCGGCCTCGCCATGTCCTGCAGCGCCTGCCGCTTGTAGCGAACTTTGACCCCGCCCAGACGAGACCTGTGGTGAGGTGATATATGATATAACAACGCATACTTCTCTTATGGGAGAGGACTTGTCATCATTTCATAGTTTATTGCAAGGATAGAGTTGCTAAACCTGATAGTTCAGGGACGGACTAGGACCACACATCAGCCCGGGCATTTTTTACACGGGCAAAAAAAATAATCCTCAATAATAATAATAATAACAATAATATGCCATTTTGCAGACGCTTTTATCCAAAGCGACTTACAGTCATGTGTGCATACATTTTTACGTATCAAGACCTCCACACCGGCCCGTTTTTTTTCTTGAGGCCCACATTATTAGCCAAATAATGATCATTTTGTGTAAAACCCCCAATGTAGACAGGCAAACTGGGCAAAAAATGGACCAGCCCATCTGGCATCAAAATGAGAGAAATCCTAATTGGTCTTTTTATACCAATCAAATCATAATAAGCAACTTTTACTGTAATACAGTCATAGTTAATGTTTTCCCTTTCAGGATTTAATCATGAGGATGTGTTGTTGGTGACATGATCTGTAGGTGTCACTGTTGGGCTGCGGAAGCTTCCCAAAGTTGTCTCTCCCTGATGGGGATGTGTGGGTCAGGTTCCTTATTAATTAAAGAGGTGTTCTTGTCCTGCACATATAACCTGGTTCTCCCAATCAATTCAAACGTTTGATCATGATATATGTCATTTCCCCTCAATCTGAATAATTCATGTTACTATATATCTATCTTAGTTTTTATTTTACATATGACACTATTTTCACAGCATTACAGATTACAGCCAATTTTCTATATACTTAATAAAATATCAACACTGTTTTTTGTATTAAAAAAAAAATGCAAATATGGGACTGCACTGAAGATGTTTGAAAATGCATCTCATCAATGTGGGTTTTACTTGTACCTTTAGTAAGTTGCGCTGTATTTGACAAAAATAAGAGAAAATGTGCTTACCCATACCTCCTGTCTACAACAGGGTTGTCTTCTATTGCCTCTTGGCATAGTAAGTCTGTATACTGTCCATCTGTTACCAGACAGTCCACACTGTTTCTCTCCTCCTCACTCCTGTGCTCCTCCAAAATATTGTGTTGATTTGACCTCTTGACAACAATCATGTTCATCTTTCGATTGCTTGTTTTAGCCCAAACAACATCAGGCGCAACTGCAGAAGTTGAAATCCGAATAGGTGCAGCAACTTCCCCATCCACACTGTGATGGATATGAGCAGAGAAGTAACCCAAAGTCTCTGCGCTCAGAACTTAAGCCATCGAGCCAAACGACAGCCCATCTGGAGGAGCCCTTAGAACCAGACCTTTTAGGAACCAGACACTGATGTCAGTCTTGACTTTACCAATGAGAGGGTGTTGTCTGTAGAGGAGGATGGGATGAACATGTTGAAGCTGCTTAGGCTTCTTTGGGGAGTTCAAGTAACCTGCTCTCTTGCGTCTAACTGGCTGTCCCTAGCACTTTTCAGCATCCAATTAAAAGTGGAGACATCTCTCTGCTCGGTGGAGGGAGCTGTTCACTTTATTCCAGGAGTACCCAGACTAGGAATAATAATAATATAATAATATGTAACAAGAACGCCAATAGATGAAGTAATGGGTATGGATTGTGACTGGGATCAGTACATTTTGGGCACTTAACTTTTGAGCTTTTTCTTTATGTTTGTAAGAGTTAATGTAGGCTATTTGATGTCCCAATGTTCTGATGCTTAGGTCGTCTGAAGCATGCACCCGATATATATATATATATATATATATATATATATATATATATATATATATACACACTACCGGTCAAAGGTTTTAGAACACCTACTCATTCAAGGGTTTTTCTTTATTTTTTACTATTTTCTACATTGTAGAATAACAGTGAAGACATCAAAACGATGAAATAACACATATAGAATCATGTAGAAACCAAAAAAAGTGTTAAACAAATCAAAATATATTTTATATTTGAGATTCTTCAAATAGCCACCCTTTGCCTTGATGACAGCTTTGCACACTCTTGGCATTCTCTCAACCAGCTTCATGAGGTAGTCACCTGGAATGCCTTTCAATTAACAGGTGTGCCTTCTTAAAAGTTAATTTGTGGAATTTCTTTCCTTCTTAATTTGTTTGAGCCAATCAGTTGTGTTGTGACAAGGTAGGGGGGGTATACAGAAGATTTTTGGTAAAAGACCAAGTCCATATTATGGCAAGAACAGCTCAAATAAGCAAAGAGAAACGACAGTCCATCATTACTTTAAGACATGAAGTTCAGTCAATACGGAACATTTCAAGAACTTTGAAAGTTTCTTCAAGTGCAGTCGCAAAAACCATTAAGCGCTATGATGAAACTGGCTCTCATGAGGACCGCCACAGGAACGGAAGACCCAGACTTACCTCTGCTGCAGAGGATAAGTTCATTAAAGTTACCAGCCTCAGAAATTGCAGCCCAAATAAATGCTTCACAGAGTTCAAGTAACAGACACATATCAACATCAACTGTTCAGAGGAGACTGTGTGAATCAGGCCTTCATGGTCGAATTGATGCAAAGAAACCACTACTAAATGACACCAATAAGAAGAAGAGACTTGCTTGTGCCAAGAAACACAAGCAATTTACATTAGACCGGTGGAAATGTGTCCTTTGGTCTGGTGTCCAAATTTGAGATTTTTGTTTCCAACCGCCGTGTCTTTGTGAGACGTAGTGTGGGTGAACGGATGATCTCCGCATGTGTATTTCCCACCGTAAAGCATGGAGGAGGAGGAGGTGTTATGGTGTGGGGGTGCTTTGCTGGTGACACTGTCTGTGATTTATTTAGAATTCAATTCACACTTAACCAGCATGGCTACCACAGCATTCTGCAGCGATACGCCATCCCATCTGGTTTGGGCTTAGTGGGACTTAGTGGGACTATCATCCTCCAGGCTGTGTAAGGGCTATTTTACCAAGTAGGAGAGTGATGGAGTGCTGCATCAGATGACCTGGCCTCCACAATCCCCCGACCTCAACCCAATTGAGATGGTTTGGAATGAGTCGGACCGCAGAGTGAAGGAAAAGCAGCCAACAAGTGCTCAGCATATGTGGGAACTTCTTCAAGACTGTTGGAAAAGCATTCCAGGTGAAGCTGGTTGAGAGAATGCCAAGAGTGTGCAAAGCTGTCATCAAGGCAAAGGGTGGCAATTTGAAGAATCTGAAATATAAAATATATTTTGATTTGTTTAATACTTTTTTGGTTACTACATTATCCCATATGTGTTATTTCATAGTTTTGATGTCTTCACTATTATTCTACAATGTAGAAAATAGTAAAAATAAAGGAAAACCCTTGAATGAGTAGGTGTTCTAAAACTTTTGACCGGTAGTGTATATATAAATATTTTTTGCTGCATTCAAATGTGGCCGCAGTGTACCTATAGATGTGCTAATGCTAAAAATACATTAAAAAATCTTCTTCTCATGAACCATAAGTCAGATTGACTCCAGATGAGGTATATAGACTCAATGAATTAGCCTCTAATGAATTAGAGAATGGCTTAGTTGTCTGACACATGCCCCCGATATTTACTTCATGAGGATCATGAAACCGTGTCGTTTCCACAACTGCCATGTCAGCAGATAATATATGTTTTTACCAAGGGATTCTGGAAATGTATAGGTGCAATGACATGGTTTCTAATGCCCACTGAAACCGCAGTGTTTTATATTAACTCTAACTGGGTGTATAACTGGATGTCAACGTAGCTCATCATAAGAGTGAGTTAGTTACGTTAGGGATTCAAAACGAAGGCAGTAGAAAACAAACCATTTTACAGAAAACTTGACATCAAGTGTAGTAACACTGTAATTGCACTAGTAACAACTTGTAACATGTTACATAGTCCCACAGTAATTACATAGCAATAGAGTTGAGCGGTTGTGGTAAGACCAATAGGGGATTGTTCCTAAAGTACTATGTAACAGCAGTGGACAGGTATAAGAGTAACTTCAAGTGTTACCAGACATTTGAAAATATATTTTGTTTTACAACATCAGTGCACCCCACCCTAAACAACTGAGAGAGAGAGAGAGAGAGAGAGAGAGAGAGAGAGAGAGAGAGAGAGAGAGAGAGAGAGAGAGAGAGAGGAGAGAGAGAGAGAGAGAGAGAGAGGGACACAGACCGAGAGAGAGAGAGAGAAGGACACAGACCGAGAGAGAGAGAGAGAGAGAAGGACACAGACCGAGAGAGAGAGAGAAGGACACAGACCGAGAGAGAGGAGAGAGAGAGAAGGACACAGACCGAGAGAGAGAGAGAAGACACAGGAGAGAAGGACCACAGGGACACCACGAGAGAGAAGGCACCAGAGAGAGAAAAATATATATATGGAAGTGTGCAAAAAAATGAAACAGCACTATAATTGATAGTCAGCTGTGGGACTGATAAAAACTGACAGAGACTTTTGACTGTTACTTTATGACAACCTTCAGGCTCTGTGCCCAGCACAATGTTGGACACTTAACTTTTACAGTAATCCCTCAAATGAAAAACAGTCAAATATGTGCCTCCAAATACTCCCAACACAAGGAGAGAATGTGTTGTTCTCAATCTCGAGTCTGTATTGCAGACAGTGCATACCTTCCACTGCAGTTTTACGCTATAATATACACTGAAAAAAATATAAATGCTGATTAAATAAATAGCATGATCATTACACAGGTGCACCTTGTGCTGGAGACAATAAAAGGCCACTCTGAAATGTGCAGTTTTGTCACAGAACACAATGACACAGATGTCTCAAGTTTTGAGGGAGCGTGCAATTGGCATGCTGACTGCAGGAATGTCCACAAGAGCTGTTGCCAGAGAATTTTATGTTCATTTCTCTACCATAAGCCGCCCCCAACGTTGTTTTAGAGAATTTGACAGTACGCTCAACCGGCCTCACAACCGCAGACCACGTGTATGGCGTTGTGTGGGTGAGCGGTTTGCTGATGTCAATGTTGTGGACAGAGTGCTCCATGGTGGCGGTGGGGTTATGGTATGGGCAGGCATAAGCTACGGACAACGAACACAATTGCATTTTATCAATGGCAATTTGAATGCACAGAGATACTGTGATGAGATCCTGAGGCCAACAGATGCATATCTGTATTCCTAGCCATGTGAAATCCATAGATTAGGACCTAATGAATTTATTTCAATTGACAGATTTCCTTATATGAACTGTAACTCAGTAAAATCTTTGAAATTGTTGCATGTTGCGTTTATATTTTTGTTCAGTGTAGTTGTAAACCCCTTTAAACACCAGATTACCAACACACTACAACGTCAGTGTCTCTGCACTACTCGTCCTACACACGGCAGCTTAGTAGCACACATCAAGATATAGGTTCACTAATGTACTCTTCCCAGGACACTCAACCACACACAGAATTCAGCAGCAACAGGGGAGGTTCGGTTTGAACGTCTCAAAGCTGAAAAAACACATGCAGCATCTCCCATCAGGTACCATGAATTCCACACATGCATTCCTTAGCGGTAGTCTGAGAATATTACAGGACATGGCATCACAGCTCATAAAGTCATGTCCCTCAGTGATCCATTAGACTGCTCTTTCTTCATTCAGTAGCTTGGGGACCTGTAGAATAAAAACATTGGGAATTGACTTTGTCTCGTTTAGGTAGCTTGGAAATGTTATGTTCAACAATAAAACGGATCAGGTTGGTTTCCCTTCTCTCTCGAACCGGCGGTGTGTTTTGAGAGCGTTTCAGACCTATCCTGCTCGGACACGGTTCCATTATTGTGTCAACAGGGTCAGGGTGAGTTGAATGTAAATTCTAAAAATGAATCAAATTGTAACATGTCCAATTGCACTCTATTCTTGCTGTGAAACCTATTGCTTTAGTATGTATATATTAGAATGGTCCAAACAGGGTTAAAATAATTACATCACAATAAAACACAACAAAGCCTACATCATACATAACACAATGCATCAAACAAGACATAATTACATTATTACTCTCTTATTACAAATGTACAATATAAAATCCACAATACCACAGCATTTAGTGTGTAGAGTGTTAGTGTGTGTGTGTGTGTAGAGTGTTAGTGTGTGTGTGCGTATGCGTGTGTGTGTGTCTCTTCACAGTC